GAGCCCTCCTCCGGAACTACAATTAAGCCAATTAAAGTGGGTCAATTTCTGTACCAAAACAATATTCAGGGAATTTTAAAAAATGGTGTTAAGAGCATAGGACGCAATCGTATTTCCATTGAGTTTTCTTCCACCCAACTAGCTAACGATTTTGTTGTAAGTCCATTACTTGCTAAAGCAAATTTTGTAGCCGTAATTCCTTCCTATGCTATTACGAGAATGGGTATCATTAGAGGTGTTCCAATCGATATAGGTATGGATGAATTCGTCTCTGCATCAGAAGTTGCCTCTTCTACAGAAATAATTCGCGCTCGTCGTCTAAACCTTAAAGTTATTAAAGCTGATAACTCTGTTGAGTGGATTCCAACACAAACGATTGTAATTACGTTCTCTGGTAAATTACTGCCCTCACATGTTTTTGCCTATTTCACGTCATATCCTGTAGAACCTTACCTTTTACCAACAATACAATGTTATAACTGCTGTCGTTTCGGTCATGTTAAATCTAAATGCCGATCTAAGCCTCGTTGTTATAAATGTGGACAACCACATGATGGAAAATCATGTGAAGTTACCTCGGTCACATGTCTTCACTGTACTGGTAATCATGCAGCTATTAGTTCATCCTGTCCAGAATTTAATAGACAAAAATCTATTAAAGTAATTATGTCCCAAGAACATATCTCTTATGATGAAGCATCTGTAAGAGTCCGCCCATCCAAACGATCCTATTCCGACATTGCAAGCAAAACTCCTTTAAATCCATCTCCTAATACGAGTAATAAGAATTCATATAAAAAAACTTTCTATATAAATAGGAAACCACGTTCTCCAGCATCCGATCATGGGTATGACCATACAGCCCATGTATCCATGATCCAAACCCCAAGAAGTTCTCTTCCTAATGGAAATGCTTACCCTAAAGATAATGAGCAAAACCATACTTCTCCAAATGAAAATTTAATAGACTTACTGATATCCACACTTATGTGTATCATTTCGAAATTTGACGACCACTGTTTACCTCCAAATTTAACCCAGTCTCTTGAGAAACTATCGATGCTCTTAAATAATATAAATAAGCATGGCTACGATTCTTCAATGGAACTGTCGCAGTATTAAGCATAAAAAAGGCGATTTAATCTATCTTATCAACAAATACAACCCGTTTCTTGTAGCATTATCAGAAGTTTGGCTTCACCCGAAATCTCACTTCCGTATTCCTGGTTTTCCCTGCCTTCGCGAAGACAGGAAAGATGGTTACGCCGGTGCTGTAATCCTAATTAATAGATTACATTCATTTATCAAGGTTTCACTTCCTCAACATAGTGAGGAATTAAACGTTGTAGCTTGCAAATGTAATGATATCACATACCTGTCTTTCTATATTCCTCACCCACATCCATCACTGATCACTGAATTAAACTTAATAATTTCATCTATTACTCCTCCTTTTATATTACTAGGTGATTTTAATGCTCACCATGTCTCATGGGGCTCATGCAGAAATGATACTTTTGGCTATCTCTTAATGGAATTGTTTGATGAATTTAATATTTGCATTTTAAATGATGGATCACCAACAAGGAGAGTATATCCATCTCAAAATCCTAAAAGTGTTGTTGATCTAACTTTATGTACCCCAAATCTTACATCACGTATTAATTGGAAAGTTTTATCTCACTCATATGGTAGTGATCATTACCCAATATTACTTTCATTAGCCAACTGCTCAATACCAATCAGAGTTTTTTCTCCGCTGTTAAAATATAATATAAAAGGAGCGGACTGGGCTAAATTCTCATCGTTATCAGATTCGGTACTCTCTAAATTTTATAACAGTGACTCTAATGATATAGAGACAAACTACAAAAACTTTGTTAAGTATCTTTTACTCACCGCAGGTTCATGTTTCACACGAAAAATTTCGCCCCCTACCAAAATTTGTTCTCCCCCATGGTGGGATGAGGAATGCACACTCAGTGTTAAAAAACGAAAACAAGCTGAACGTCTATACTACTGTCTATTGAAAACTTTTTAAATTATAAAAAAATAGCTGCCCATACATTAAAACTGTTAGAACATAAAAAAAAGACGGGTCGGCTTAGGTTTTGTGAAAATCTTTCACCCCGCTCTCCTGCTTCTATATTATGGAAGAATATAAAAAAATTCCGCGGATCATATAACGTTGATAATTATTCACCGCAATGTGATTCCTCTATTTGGTACAATTTATTTGCCGATAAGCTTGCTCCTCCTTGGGTTCCCTCCTTTGAGGAATTATGTTATTGTGAACCATTGATAACCCAACCTGGAGTAAACATTAATAATTCACGTTTTAATGAACTTTTCTCCAGTGAAGAATTTGAATTGGTTGTTCAACACCTTAAAGATTCGTCACCAGGAATAGACGGAATTCCATACTCATTTATTTCTAACGCAGGATCAAAATCTAAGAAATTTTTTCTAGACTTAATCAATGACATATTTATTACGGGAATAGTCCCTAATGGGACTATTCCCGTAATAAATGGAAAATGCAAATTATTATCCCCATCTTAAAACCAGACAAAAATCCTAGTGATGGTAATAGTTACCGCCCTATAGCACTATCATCAACTCTGTGCAAAATAATGGAGCATTTAATTAAAAACCGTCTAGAATGGTTTGTTGAAAATAAAGGTCTCTTGGCCAAAACACAGTTTGGATTTCGAAAGGGACTGAGCAAGCTTGATAGCTTGTCTGTTTTTACCTCTGATATACGCTCGGCTTTTTCCAGAGAAGAATCGGTTGGTGCTGTTTTTCTAGATGTATCATCAGCCTATGATAACGTTGTCCTCCCTTTACTCAAAGAAAAGATGTTTCTTTTGGATATTCCCCATAGAATTACTCGCATTATTTTTAATTTACTTTCAGTTAGGTCAATATGTATAAGAGTTCAAGGAAAACTGCTCCCTCCTAGACAGATATGGAGAGGCCTCCCACAAGGTTCTGTTTTAAGTCCTATTTTATTTAACATATACACCCATAATCTCGAACATTCTGTTAACTCCTTTTGTAAAGTCTTACAATATGCTGACGATCTAACTCTTTATTACTCTTCTAAGAACTTTACAGACTTGAGTTATCGTCTTAACTCTGCATTGTTCTACTTAAATAATTGGCTTACTAATAACGGTCTATCCTTATCACCTACAAAGAGTAGAGTAGTAATATTCTCTAGAAAAAGATTTTATCCCAATATTTCAATCTCAGTACAAAATCAAATAATTCCGACAAGTGATAATGTTAAATTTCTAGGTGTTTTTCTGGATTCTAAGATGACAGGTATTCCTCATTTAACGTTCATTGCCCAAAAATGTGAAAAGAATGTAAATATCCTTCTTTCACTGACAGGTGTTTGGTGGGGATCTCATCCATATTGTTTAAAACTTTTATATAACGCTCTAATCCGTAGTCATTTTGACTACGGTACATTTCTTTTGGAACCTTGTAATAAACAAGCTCTTAACCTTTTAGATAAAATCCAACTCAAGTGCTTACGAATTATTTTAGGGGCCATGAAATCATCTCCATCAAATGCTCTACAAGTTGAATGTGGCGAACCTCCTCTTTACCTACGTAGACAGTATCTTGCCGATCGCTTTATATATCGAATATTTCAGCTATCTTCACACCCACTGCTTTCTAAACTGCATTCTTTAAACTCTGGTTTGAAAAATAACAACTACTGGACTCATAAAGACGTTCCCCGTATTCTTAAAAGCTACCAAAAGATACTTACCTTCAAATTTCCCATATTTCAAAGTATGATTAATCCTCCATTCGTACATCCATTTGAATCTTTATGTTATCACCCTCCAGTTATATTAAATTTTGGTGTGACTAAAAATTCCCCTGTAGCCCAAGAAAAATTTCTAAGTAATATATTACATGAAAAATGGGAAGGCTGGTTGACCCTTTTTACTGATGCATCCAAACTCTCCGATAATAGTTTTGTAGGTTCAGCTGTCTGGATACCAAAATATAAAATTATTTTAAATCTTAAAAATACAAATGTTACTTCAATTTTCACTGGTGAAGCGGTTGCTATTTTAGAAGCAATTTTATTTATAGAAGCACATAAAATTAACAAATGTATTGTTTTTACTGACTCATATCTTTCATTACAAAGCATTTCATCTAACCCGTTTCGAAGTAAATCGAAATTCCCAATTATTTTTGAAATAAAAGATGCACTATATAGGTATTTTTGTCAAGATCTTAACCTGAAACTTGCTTGGCTGCCAAGTCATAATGGCATACGTGACAACGAATTTGTTGATTCCTTAGCAAAGCAAGCATCTACTTCTGGTATCCTCATGCATCATATAACATATACTCATGACCTTATTTCTCTTGCGAAAATCCATCAGATGTCAGATTGGAACTCTCTTTGGGAAAAAACTCAGAAGTCTATCGGTAAATATTATGCAGAACTCCAACCTGACATCCCCTCCAAACCATGGTTTTTTAAATTTAGAAATGGTTCCAAACATATCACATCTGTCATATGTAGAATTAGATTGGGACACACTTGTACATCTGTATTTTTGGCAAAACTTAAGATTAAAGATAGCTCAATTTGTGAGTGTGGATTAGACGAAGGTACGATCGATCATAAATTTTTTAACTGCCTCTCCGTTTCATTATACGATTTTCTTCCTAATAACATTCCTCGTCCTGTAAATCTTAAGTCTTTGTTAAATTTAGTTTTCACTCCTTTTGTTCAAACTTTATAGATTTCATATCCATTAATAACATTAAACTATAGTACCTTTGCCACTTACCTATATCCATATTATTATATTAGCAATAATTTTGTAAAAATATTATAATGTTAATTCATTCGAAAATAACTACATAGGTAAGTAAGTTCGTAACATAAAGTTAAGTAAGCGCATCTACGGAAACGGAAACTAGTAAATACTCTGTGTGACTCTCATGAAATACTTGACGCTGGCAGAATCCATTGTCCATTGTTGGAAGTTGCCAAATTAGGAAAAAAAAAATTTTTAATAAAGCTATAGAAAACAGCAATGGCCTTTAGTGAAAGTGAAGTTTGTAGAATTTGTTTAAGCGTTAATATACGCATGTTTGCACTAAAGGAGACTGGCCTCCAAAATTTGTATAAGACATTGACGAACAGTTTTGTAAGTTTTTTAATATTTATTTATTGCTAAATGAAGTTGCGGTAATTTATTGTTATCACTGGAGAAATACATTATGTTGCCCGATATATGTTCTAAGATGTAGCGTTAAATATAGTGACAAATACAACCAGAACCTGAAAAATAACAATTAGCCTGGTATCCTGGATCGCACTAAAATCAGTATTATCATTTAAGTAAAGCCTAGTAGGATATATACTTGGGTACGGAAGGAGCGGCATGTTGCGCAACATGTCTCAACTAATACGTGGAATGTCCCGAGATATGTCGCGGAACTTTTTGCAGGCCACACTAGTCAGTAGTCAGTGCTTATAGAAATGTCTCCCAAAGAGGTTGTGGCGATTAGTGCTGTGTACGCAGTGCTTATTGCGGGAGTGAAACGTAAGCGAAAGAAAAGGTGGTGGATTCAGAATTCCTTACTACAATGAGAAGGAAGAGGAATTGATATTTTAAGTGATCTCCGAATGTCTGACGGATTTTTTGTGAATTTTACTTGAATGTCAACATCGGATTTTGAAACGTTATAACAAATGATCGGACCTTCCATAACCAAACAGGATACTATACTATGGAATGCTGTTGCCCTCATATCAGTATCAGACTTGCCATTGCATTAAGATACTTGTTGACTAGAGTTTTTTATGCTTGTTTGTCATACACTTTTCGAGTGTTGAAACAACTGATCGGCAGAATAGCACCAGAAGTTAGTGGTTAGAAGTATCCCATAACAAAATACGACTCTGGTAAAGTTGAAGAAATAAAAGCACGGTTTAATTTCCCCACACAACTGACATGTTGCAAGTAAAGTTGTACACACAACTACACCCGGTAACAAATGACGTGACACTGACGCCGGACACGTGTACTCTCTCTCGAAGAGGGAATAAGCAACATGTCCCATGTCACTTACAATGTTCTGGGTCACTGTGCAATGTAGCATCGTCATGTAGATTGAGTGTTCCACATCATCTTGCGGGACAAAATGGCTCCTAGTGAATCTGGGTCTTAGTTTAGTATAGTTTACTACGGGCTGATTTCCGCAACTCCACGTCTATGTATGTATTTTACGTGTGGGCAGGAATAATATGCTTATTCGAGCCATGAGATCTCCCCGAAGAAGCTCAACAGTCCTTTGATGTTGCATGCAACTTTGGGGAGTGATCTCGGCGTGCCGAGATGTTTAGCCCTGTACGTAGCGACCTCTGGACATTTCAATATCACACGGGCCGCCATTTCTTCTTCCCCCAGACATGCCCTGCACAGGGGATTATCTGTAACACCTATAATAAATAAATGCTTGTTAAAGTTGCCATGTCCTGTGATAGCACTTGCTATATCCTGATCTGCGGCTTGTTCAGTCTCATTAGAACTTTGGTTAAACAACTGTTTATTTCAGGCAGGGCCTCCCTAGCTTGTCTACAGTCTACTAGATTTTTCCAAAGCTGAGCATGTAGATTAGTGAAGTGTCAAATATCTGGGTCTTAATTGTACTACATTCTCCTTCCATTCCTTCCATGCAACCCGCACTGCTGCATAGATTTTGTTCCTGGTGTCTGTTCTAGTACATATTACTTGAATGACTATTATTGTGATTTTTTATCAACAAATTAACATTTACCCTGGTTTGGTTGTTCAGCAAATTAAAACAGTTCTATCGGACTATTAAAATGAGAGAATAGAGTAGAAAGACTTATTATCATTATTTTATATGTGGTAGAGCCGGACTGCAGCTATATTATGGTTGTATCATGGATGGGTCGGCTCGACCGGGGTGGTACTACACTTTCACAGAATGTGTAGTACCACCCACCACCCTGTGTTTTGTTTCAATATCCTCCTACCACAAGCATTATCAGCTTACTTAGAGTGATAAGAGAAGTATTTGTAATGTTCTTAGTGATGATAGTAGTTTGAAGTTAATGTAGGTAATGTAGTTGATGGATGTAGGTGGCTTGGAACTGTAGGAGTTTCTTTCTGCCTAGATATCATCCTCTTACCATTTCCTGGCACCAAGCAGCAGTATGTGTCCCAGTCTGAAGGACATCGAGAGCCAGGCTGTGATGCATTACATCTTAGTCTTCAGAGGTAACATTGCATCTATAGCCATTGCTTGAAGTTCGTTGCAGGTGCCCATGATGCCCATTAGTCACTTACTAGATGGTAAGTTTATTTGTCACTTCAATATTATAAAAAATGATGTTGACAAATTAAAATATGGTAGCCAATAATTTTTATTACAAACTTATATACACTTATGTATTTGAACACTATTTCATATTTATGAAGATTTTCATATTTTCAGTTGGATGAGATTGAGGGGCCAATAATTGTCTGTTTCACCTGTCATGCAAGACTCATTCGTTGCAGAAGATTACAACAACAGGCTATTGAGTCAAATGTGGTTCTGGAGCAGTTGCTTTCAGTAGGATCCATGGTATTATCCATTCCATCCATTATAACCTATAAAAGTCCACTGCTGAACATAGGTCTCACTCATAGATTTTGCCAAATTTGCCACACTTGACAAGTTGGCAACCGTAGTTTATATTAGTCTAAGTTGTCATCAGGAAGATGCGGCCGCCCTACCTCTGTTTCTGTTTCCTTCTGTTGCCTCTTACGACACCCATCCCGTGGATAGGTATATAGGATAGTGTAGGGGTCGGCAACCTGCGGCTCGCGAGCCACATGCGGCTCTTTGGATGTGAAACTGCGGCGCTTTAGTTTCATACGCAAATATTATTTAATTTATAAAAAAAATTATAAATCGATCCATACTGAGCCATTTGGGGTTGATACTGGATCTCTAGAAATGCAATTGATCGATTTAAAAAGTAAAGCTTTGTGGAGTTGAAAATTTACAGAGTTGATAAGGAAGTTGAAAAGGTTGGAGGTCCAGAAATGTATGTACGTAACGCAACAAAAATGAACGGCTTTAAAAGAAAGGCTGCGAGTTGAGTTATATTTGATGCATGGAATAGTCTTCCAGATACTATAGTGAGGTGAAGAAGTTGGAATTTGGAGTGCTGACTATCTTCGGATCGACATATTCGTGCGAGCAAGCGTTCTCTTGCGTGAATATAATTAAAAGTAAAGTAAGAAGCCAACTAACAAATGAAAATTCAGATTCGTGTTTGAAACTTAAAACAACAAGTTATTTAAGCCAAATTTATCCAAATTTTCTAAAACCATGCAAAGCCAAAACTCCCATTGAATTTGTTTGCTCAATTGTTTGTACTTGAAGTATAAGTTAGTGTTGTGAGACTTACAATGTAAATAAATGTTTGTTTTAATTTTTTACTTAAATAATAAGTGATTATCTAATAATACCATATAAACGTTGCCGACCCTGTGATAGTGGATATTCTTACACCGTCACTGCACAATCCACTTTTCTATGCTGCTTCCCATTGCTATATGGGAGAATGTTTCTAGTGTTCAAAGTTAAGTTTGTCCTTCAATCCAACTTACTTTTGTTAGAGCAATAGTACTTATTTTTACAAAAACAATTATCAAACTGTTTATACTGTTATATATTACCCTATTGTATATAAACAAATCTCAATAAACAAAGATAAATCTTTGTCAATTTACAGCTTTCGTGAATCTGAATCCAAAAGTTGTTGAGACTCGATTCTCGGGATAGATGAACTATGTACATTCTTATTTAAGTTTACGCTGAACCCTCACTTTTGTCCGGTGTTTATTATTATTTGCAGTTGTTGTCAGGAAGATGCTGCCCCCCGATCTCCTGTTTCAGTTTCCCTCTGCCCCTTTTTACGACATCTGCGGGATGGCAGGGGTAGTATGGGTTCTCCTACTCCACCACTATAGTGGCTTTTTCTCTTATTTGAAAAAATTATTTCCTTTCAGTCAATACCAAAACCGCATAAGGTTAGAGGTGAGATTAAATTCACACCAATTTATCATATAGATATCTGGCCTGTAGAGTGTGATATAGACAATGATTGCAAGGACGAAATTTTTTGCCTTGATGCCGTTAAAGTTGAGGAAGAGATTTTCGAATATGAGAATTCCAAATTTGAAGAAAATGAGAATCGTGAAACAGGTAAGATATACCCCTTTTCTTGATATTATTAAAATAAGGTACAATTTACCTTATGGCAAGTGGTTACTGTAGCTCATGGACACAAAATAAAGAGGGCTTCATGAATAATGTATTGATTTACTGATTTGCCTTTGTCTAAATTCATGTCATGTTCAAAGTTCAGTGCGTGTCAAAAGCACTCTTATTAATACATTTAAAAAAATATTTTGACCCTGTATAAATGCAGCCAGTATGTATGTCAGTACTAGGTGGTGTGACTCCATGTTTGCCTAGGAGTTGATCTATTGGTGCCTGCCCAGATGGACTCCTCCCTCCTCCTCTTACCTATTTCTGCCGTCAAATAGCAGTGCGTGCACTGCTGTGTTCCATTCTGATGGGTATAGAGTCAGAATAATCACAGGCTGTGGGTCATTCCATTTTAGTTGTGGTAGAGCCATGCTGCAGCTATATTAGTAGTATAGTTATAGCACGAATGGGTTGGCTCGACCGGGAAAGGACCATGCTCTCACAGAATACCAGCGTAAAATAGCAGCTTAACACTGCTGTGTTTCGTATGGTGATTGTAGAGAACTGGATACCTTTTTTACTGGAAAAGAGGGATTCCATCGTAGTCCTCATGGGTGACAATGCATCTGCATTTTGATTCTTTATTGAGGACAGATGTAGATGTCTATGGTTCACAGCGACCATTTACCATCGTGTGGACTGTGTGCTCGTTTGTCACCCTATCCTATAAAAATTAAAATTAAAAGATGAGCGCATTGCATCATTAAATCTTCATCATTACAGCCTTCACAAGTCCACTGCTGAACATAGGTCTCACCCACGGAATGCCACAATGCACAGGAATCCATAGCGTTCCTGCATTTCTTATAACCAAGTATGTTTTCAAAAAGGTTCTAACAATAAATTAAAGTACCATCAGTTTTTTTAACGTAGTGTCAAAAATGTTTATTATTTAAAATGTTAATTATATTTCTTTAAATTGTAGAAAATTTTCGTGAATTTAGTGTCTGTACAAAAATATGTCTGATGACACAGATACTGAGACTATGTTTTCTTAGATTTCTTATTCATTACTTAAATTTAAAAAAAAAACGGACGTTAATTAAATTGGCAATTATTAGCAATTAACTGTAAAAATTTTAGTTTTATCACCAAAAACAAAAAGTATAGTCTTCTTCTTCTTCTTTCTTAGTTTTATGGCCCCTCTTTTTAGAATTCTGCCAATGTCAAGTCAGTCATGGGAGTGACAAGAGATTGTTTACAATAGTTACAAGTTATTATTGTTTGTGTAGGTCTTCACAATCTACAACAAAAGACGCCACAAGTTTATAACCATCACCATGTTAGTAATCTTACAACTTAATTTTATTAGTTCTAATATAATCACACAAAATATTTACAAAGGGAGTAAACACAAGGGACAGTAAGTATGAGAAATTAGTAGGACGAGGGATGTAGTTAGGGAGTATATCATAAAAGGAGAAGGAGACCTTGGGGCACTCAAAAAACAGGTGGTTAACTGTTCCTTCGCCTAACCCACATTCACAGATTGACGTATCCCTAATCCTTAATTTAGCTAGGTGTACAGGTGTGCAGGTGTGACCTAATCGGAGACGGCAAACAGTTGAGGTAATCACTTTACTAAAGTGACGGGTTTTAAAGAACCAAGGTTTTAGGGGGATATTATTTTGGACATTAGCATAATTTTTACATTTTATAAGTTTTGATTGCCAAATGGTTTGCCATGAGGAGTGTAAACTTAAGTTAGCCTTCGACAGGAGGTCATATGAGTAAATATTGTGTTTGGGTAGTGATCCAGATTTAGCTGCATCCTTAGCTATCCGATCAGCAACCTCGTTGCCCTGAATCCCACAGTGAGCAGGTATCCACGCCAAGACAATCCTTAGTCCCTTTTTATGACATTTGAATAGAGACTCTCTGATATTTAAAATTAATGGGTATTTTACTTTTAATTGAAATGGGCTGGAAGCAATACTTTGTAAGCAGCTAATGGAATCTGATAATATGAGAGTTTTTTTCAGGCTGTGAGATTCAGCATACAAAACTGCCTCTAATATAGCCAATGACTCACCTGTGAATACAGAAGAGTCAGAAGGGGAATTAAAATTTAAAATAATTTTATATTTAGGTATCCACACTGCGGATCCTACTAAACCTTTTTCGCTGACCTTTGAGGCGTCAGTGAACATAATCACCCAGTCAACCCACTTTTCAGCTAGAATCATGTTTAATTTAATATTTGGTTCAGTGCTGTCATTATAAATGCCAATATTTAAAAATATGTCTGGCTTATATATTAGGGCCTCATAGGGAATATTGTAGAGAGGGTTCCTGAGTGACTTGGAGTTTGGAGAAGGAAGATTGACAAGTTTGGAATAGCTTTTTATAATGCATGGCAAATCCTTATGTGACCAATATTGGGATCGCTTGACTAACTGGTTAAGGGAATGTAGTTTGGATAGGAGAGGATGGTGCGAATAACAGGCAGCTTTAAATAAAAATCTGTCTGATAAATACTGTCTTCGGAGAAAAAGAGGAGGCTCGACACATTCCACTTGGAGAGCGAGGATAGGAGTAGATTTCATTGCTCCTGTTATGATTCTGAGACATTTTGACTGGATTTTGTCCAGTATGTTAAGTGCCATTTTACTACATGGCTCCAGTAAAAAACAACCATAGTCGAAATGGCTTCTTATTAATGCATTATATAAAAGCTTTTGGGAATAAGGATGGGAGCCCCACCAGGAGCCTGATACAGATCGGATGACATTTAAATTTTTTTCACATTTAGCAGCTACATAGGATAAATGTGGGATACCTGTCATTTTACTGTCTAGAAATACTCCTAAAAATTTCACTTGAGTCTGAGAAGGTATAAGAGAGTCATCAATATGGATAGGCACATCTGGGGAAAACCTTCGTCTAGTAAATACTACTGAGTTACTCTTACTAGCTGAAATGGACAAACCATGTTCTATAAGCCAAAAGTTGAGGGATTTAACTGCTTGGGATAGACGGGAGATTGCTTGGTCAAAGGAAATGTCGGATGCATATAAGACTAAGTCATCAGCATACTGTAGGATATTTGCTAAGTAGTTTACAGATCTATCAAGTTCATATGTATAAAGGCTGTATAACAAGGGGCTCAGAACTGAGCCTTGAGGTAATCCCTTCCAGACAGGTCTAGGTGATGTGAGCTTGCCTTCAGAGCGAACTAATATGCGCCTCTGCGAAAGCAGGTTTGATACGACATTTGTGATTCTCTCCGGGATGTTCAGCTGTTGCATTTTCTGCCTGAGCAGCGGAAGAATAACATCATCGTAGGCCGAACGAACATCCACAAAGACGCCTACAAGATACTCATTGTTGGAAAAAGCAAGTCTTATGTCTGATACTAAGATACTAAGGCTATCCATTGTGCTAAAACCTTTTCTAAAACCAAATTGAGTCCTTGACAGAATGCCCCTATTTTCTAATATCCACTCCAGTCGATTCTTTACGAGATGTTCCATGACTTTAGATAAGGTTGATGAGATAGCAATAGGGCGGTAATTTAATGCTGAAGAGGGGTCTTTTCCAGGCTTTAAAATGTAACAAATGCCTGTAAGTTATATCTCAAATGAAAGAGTAGTAACCAAGCATGTTTTCAAAAAGGTTCTAACAATAAATTAAAGTACCATCAGTTTTTTTTTTAACGTAGTGTCAAAAATGTTTATTATTTAAAATGTTAATTATGTTTCTTTAAATCGTAGAAAATTTTCGTGAACTTATGTGTCTGTACAAAAATATGTATAGTGTAGTGATGATACAGATGCTCAGACTATGTTTTCTTAGATTTCTTATTCATTACTTAAATTAAAAAAAACAGACATTAATTAAATTGGCAATTATTAGCAATTAACTGTAAAAATTTTAGTTTTATCACCAAAAACAAAAAGTATAGTCAGACTGTCTAAAATAATTATGGCCTAAATGATCTTCGTCAATCAACAAGTCAATCTTCCAATCATTCTGTATAATGCTTGTCCCGTGTGCGATTCGAAGCATCTATTATTAGATTAATGTAGGTAATTGTAACATGGTGAGAAGAACGTCATCATTATCATTCGAATTTAGTTTCTCTACCATTCTTTCCCTCCAAAAATGAATATGAGAGACATTATTAAAAGTAAAATACTTTATATCTAGCAACATTGTATAATTATGTAATTTTATAATTTATCTATTTCTTCCTGGTTGACTGATAGAGAATGAAGGTGTCTTACAATAAAAAGTTTTACTTATAATAAATTAAATGTTCAATTCTTGTGTATTTCAGAAACATACATCATACCGACAAATCATTTTCCAAAAGCGTCTGAGAGCAAGATTAAATCAAATTCTACTGATTGTAACATAAACGATGTTCGTAAAGGAAACCTCGATTTAGAAAGCCCTACTATTGAATCAAAGCCTAAAGTCAAAGAAGATAATCAACCAATTAATAAAAAAGGAAAGCATCCTGCAAATATTATGAGAAAGAAAATATTGAAACAAAAGAGTGTAAATATACTTACGAAAAAACCGTCAGGGGCATCAACAAAATACATTTTTGAATGTGATGGTTGTAGCAAAAAATTTTCAACAAAAGACATTCTCGCCAAACACATTTCTTACAGTCATAAGACGCAAAAGAACCAGAAGAACACCACTGCAGTTCGGACACAAGTTGAACAAACTCCAGTACCACAACTAACTGAAATATTTAATTATGATATTTGCGAATTTAAAACATCTCAAAAACGTTGCATTTTGGCACATCTTAAAGCGCACGTCGCTGAACAAGTGTACTGTTGTAATAATTGTGATTATAAAAGTATTAAAAAAGATCGTTTGCAAAGGCATATGAAAATTCATACTGGAGAAAAACCTTTTTCGTGTCATATCTGTAAATATCAATGTATTCAAAAAAGTGATTTGCAAAAGCATATGAAAATACATACTGGAGAAAAACCTTTTTCGTGTCATATCTGTGAATATAAATGTATTAGAAAAAGTGATTTGCAAAGGCATATGAAAATACATACTGGAGAAAAACCTTTTTCGTGTCATATTTGTAAATATCAATGTATTCGAAAAAGTAGTTTGCAAACACATATGAAAATACATACTGGAGAAAAACCTTTTTCGTGTCATATCTGTAAATATCAATGCATTCGAAAAAGTGATTTGCAAAGGCATATGAAAATACATACTGGAGAAAAACCTTTTTCATGTAATATCTGTGAATATAAATGTATTCAAAAAAGTGATTTGCAAACACATATGAAAATACATACTGGAGAAAAACCTTTTTCGTGTCATATCTGTAAATATCAATGCATTCGAAAAATTGATTTGCAAAGGCATATGAAAATACATACTGGAGAAAAACCTTTTTCGTGTCATATGTGTAAATATCAATGTATTCAAAAAAGTAGTTTGCAAACGCATATGAAAATACATACTGGAGAAAAACCTTTTTCGTGTCATATGTGTAAATATCAATGTATTCAAAAAAGTAGTTTGCAAAGACATATGAAAATACATACTGGAGAAAAACCTTTTTCGTGTCATATCTGTAAATATCAATGCATTCGAAAGATTGATTTGCAAAGGCATATGAAAATACATACTGGAGAAAAACCTTTTTCATGTAATATCTGTGAATATAAATGTATTCAAAAAAGTGATTTGCAAACACACATGAAAATACATACTGGAGAAAAACCTTTTTCGTGTCATATCTGTAAATATCAATGCATTCGAAAAATTGATTTGCAAAGGCATATGAAAATACATACTGGAGAAAAACCTTTTTCGTGTCATATCTGTGAATATAAATGTATAGAGAAAAGTAGTTTGCAAAGGCATATGAAAACACACACTTGACCAGAACCTTTTTTGTGAGAGATCTGGTAAAATATGTGCAATATTATGTAAACGTGTTTTATATAAATATAAAAGTATACTAGATAAAAATCCATTTGTCATGAGTTCCTTATGTAACTGTAGAACGAGTAGAAAAATCTTTCCGTGTCATATGTGCTAATTGAAACTGCATTTATTCTGAAGAAGCTGATTCAAAAACCAAAGAAGCAACCAAGTGAAATCGAACCTTAAAATATGTACCGAGTGGTTAGTGGAAACAGACTAGACTTCATGTTTTTTTTTATTTTATTTAAATCATACTAGTTTGTTTTTATTTATTCGTTCTAGACTTCAACGCAAAACTAGGCACAAGAGAGAACGGTGAGCTGAAGTTAGGGAATTTCGGATTAGGGCTACGGAACCCAAGGGGCCAGCAGCTGGCCGACTTCATGGAGAAAGAGGGACACTTTATGATGAACTCTTTCTTCCAGAAGCGGCCCGACAGGAAGTGGACCTGGTCGAACCCCAACGGTTCGACAAAAATGAGATTGACTTTATTATGAAGACCAGACGACAACTGTTCAGTGATGTCTCAGTGATCTTGAGGGTGAAAACCGGCAGCGATCACCGAATGGTGAGAGGCAGGCTGAACCTTAACGTTAAGTTGGAGATGTCACGTCATTCCAAAATCCCGAAAACTTTCAGCTCGAGCTACGAAACCGTTTTCAGTGCCTAGAAGACTGCAATGAAGTGGACGATATGAATGACAAGCTCGTGGAAACTGTCCATGCGGTCGGAGCTAAGTTCTGCAAGACCCGCCGCAGAAGAACACAAAAACTCTCCGATCACACTCTTAATCTCATGGCTGTTAGACGGGAGATGAAGCTAGGTTCTTCAACAGATTTGACAGCATACAGACAACTAAACAGACAGATCTCCAAATGCATGCAGCGGGGTCTGCCAGAAAGAGCCAACTGTCAAAACTGAAGACAGAATGTGGCAGCATCGTTTCCGGGGCACTTGAGATTTTGGGTGAGATTGAGAGGTTCTATGGGCAGCTGTACACATCATCGTTGGAGCCACACGCGAGTGTGAGTAACGATCCAAGAGCGAGTCTTATCCGACACTATTCCGAAGATATCCCGGACGTCAGTCTGAGCGAGATTAGAATAGCTCTCCAGCACCTTAAAAACGGCAAGGCCTTAGGCGAAGATGGAATTACAGCGGAGCTTCTGAAAGCGCTTTTATACGTGGTAGAGCCATGCTGCAGCTATATTAGTAGTATAGTTGTAGCACGAATGGGTCGGCTCGACCGGGGAAGGACCACGCTCTCACAGAATACCAGCGTAAAATAGCAGCTTAACGCTGCTGTGTTTCATATGGTGAGTGTAGAGAACCGGAGACCCTTTTTACTGGAAACGAGGCATTCCATCTTAGTCCTCACGGGTGTCAACGCATCTGCATTTTGATTTTTAATCGAAGATAGATGTAGATGTCTATGGGCCACAGCAACCACTTACCATCAGGTGGACTGCGTGCTCGTTTGTCACCTTTACCCTATAAAAAAAAGCGGGTGGAAAACCGGTACTTAAGTCCTTCAGAAGCTCTTTAATTCTGTCCTCCATGGTGGCATTACACCGCAGGCGTGGAGCAGAAGTGCGGTGGTCTTGTTCTTCAAGAAAGGTGACAACGTTCTCTTGAAGAACTACAAACCGATTTCCCTTCTGAGCCGCGTCTACGTGCTGTTTTCGAGAGTCATTACGAATCGTCTCGCGCGCATACTTGACGACTTCCAGCCTCTCGAACAAGCCGGTTTCCGACAAGGCTTTAACACCATAGACCACATACATGCCCTTCGGCAAATTGTACAGAAGTCCGAAGAATATAATTTGCCACTATGTCTGGCGTATGTGGACTATGAGAACGCCTTTGATTCCGTCGAAATTTGGGCGGTGCTGAAGTCCCTTCAGCGATGTCAAGTTGACTGTCGGTATATCGAAGTGCTGAAGTGTTTGTACTAGTGTTGCCCAAATGCAAGAACAAGACGAGACTTAGCAAGTCTTCGTCTTGGTCTTGCGCCAATACACCTGGTCTTGGTCTTGGTATTGCGCTCCGAGTCTTGGTCTTGGTCTTGGTCTTGCAGCAAGAGTCTCGCAAGTCTCGCAATGACCTATTAGCCTATTACTATTTATTAAACGTTACTTTAGATCTTAGAACAACTTAACAGAGTAGGTACATATTGAGCTTGAATTAACATAGCCATAGTAAAGACCAACCATATTAATAAATGTCTAAACATTTAATGAGATATTCGAAAAATCAACTGACACCGGGTGGGGTTTGAACCTACGACCTAAGCGATCCGTGCCGATGCTCTAACCAACTGAGCTATCTACCGTGTCCCACGGCCACGGGCGTCAGTTTCTTAATAAACGTTTACATTTAATAAGCTTACATGTGCTAAAACATGGTTAAACATATATATAAAAACAAATTAATGGCAATAACTACACTGTATTTTAAATAACATTATCTCTCTAGAAAGAGATTGATGGACCCTCACCATATATGAAATGGAATAAAAAAGTTATACAATATACAATTTATTTAAATAAAAAATAAAATACGATGCAAATTAAATTACTTCACAGTATGTACACAACAGCTTTCACATTACTGTTACTTTATATTTATTCTTTTGACAAAGCATTAATACAAAGTAACCATCTGGCTGACTCATCACTTAACCTATTTCTATGTTTTCTAATTACTAATGATGCATTAGAAAATAATTTCTCAGCAGGTACTGAAGTTGCAGGTATTAAAAGAAAATCACGGGCCATCTTCGATAAAATCGGATATTTTGTCTCATGCGTCCTCCAACAGTCTAAAATGTCTTCCGAGATGACGGCTCTGGGTTTACCTAGGTGCCCCTTCAACTCCTTAATAACTAAGTCTTGAAGACAACATCCAGATCCATTTTTACACATTTCAAGTGTTTTAAAAGTGCTATGGTGTCAACCATATTTATCAAATGTGTGACGACATATTCGAGCACTTTGTGTTTTAAAAACACACACTTGCAAAAGTCGAGATTTGCAGTGAACTTACTGAACATGTTTATCTTTTAGGTAATAATAATAACAATAATAGTAAGTAATTATTATAAATCCATATAGTTAATTTTATAATAATTACTTACTAGAATAAATTATTATGATACCTACCTATTATCTAATTACAATAATTCTTGCGAGATCAGGATAATGTATTCGTGTCCATTCTGAGCACCCGGAAACTTATTTTATTCTTTGGAACATGTACTCTGTGGCGGCAATCAAACAGTGTCAAATGTAGTGCGTGTGGCGCGGCGGCGACGATTATGCGATATCAATAGTAGCCGCCGGCACGTGTATCTTGACCTTGTACTTAAGAATAGCTGCACAATTTCTTTGACAGGTCAGTATCCGACCTTTGATGACGCCGACAACTAGACGCCGCGCACTATCAAAGTGCCGATGGTCAAAACTAGGGATGCACTGTTTTTTCTTTTAATGGATATTTTCATTCGCTATGTATATTTATGGTATTGTTCGTAATGCGCATAAGTCCAATTTTCCAATTTTTTTAATTATATTTTTTGCGTCTCATAGAGTCCCTAAGCGTATACCCGAACTCCTATACTCCCTGAAACGACACTTAGTCCTAACTGCAAGGCGCAAGAGTCTCGCAAGCTTAGTCTTGTTCTTGCGCAAATCTTGCACAGTCAGTCTTGGTCTTGGTCTTGCTAAAAAGAGGCGGTCTTGTTCTTGGTCTTGGTCTTCCAAAAATGCAAGAACAAGACCAAGACTGCAAGACCAAGACCGATTTTGGGCAACACTAGTTTGTACAGTGGGGCTACGATGCCTGTCCGAGTACAGATCCAGAGTACGAAACCTATCCAATTGCAAGACAGGGTGACCGCTGCATTGGAAGACGTTTTCAAGCTTCTGGACTGGAAAGGATACGGTATTAACATCAATGGCGAGTACATCACTCACCTTCGATTTGCCGACGATATAGTCCTTATGGCAGAACCGCTGGAGGACCTAAGCACTATGCTCAATGACCTCAATAGTGTTTCCCAACGGATAGGTCTTAAGATGAACATGGACAAAACAAAGATCATGTTTAATGTCCATGTCACACCTATGCCGGTAGTTGTTGGGAGCACTAAGCTCGAAGTTGTTGACAAGTATGTTTACCTGGGACAAATAGTCCGACTACGTAAGTCCACCTTCGACCGAGAGGTCAATCGACGGATTCAACTCGGTTGGGCAGCGTTCGGCAAATTACGGCACACTTCTCGTCAGGTATACCTCAAAACTTGAAAACGAGACTGTACACCCAGTGCGTGTTGCCAGTGATGACCTATGGTACTGAGACGTGCTCCTTCACTGCTGGCCGGATGAGGAAGCTCAAGGTCGCTCAGCGAGCTATGGAGAGGGCTATGCTCGGAGTTTCTCTGCGTGATAAACTTAGAAATTATATATTTTTATTTTATGGCTTTAATAAAAATAATGTTATTTTGTCAGCAAACCACACACGTTTTTATTGTTTTCTTGCAATGCAGTCCATCCAAAGGTTGTCTGGAAGAGATCGCTCTTAGCGATAAGACCGCCCATTGTACCACATTTCTTTTTCTCACTTTTTAGTAATATTTTTGTAATTTTTTGGCGTACAATAAAGTGTTATCTATCTATCCGCAGTAGAATTAGAGTGACCGACATAGCGCAACGGATTAGTAAGCTGAAGTGACAATGGGCCGGCCATATAGCTCGAAGAACCGACAGCCGATGGGGAAAAAAGGTACTCGAGTGGCAGCTTCGTTCCGGCGGACGAAGTGTAGGGCGTCCCCCCACTAGATGGAATGACGACCTGGTAAGACATACAGGAAGTCGATGGATGCAGGTGGCTTAGGACCGTGTTTTGTGGCATTCCTTGGGGGAGGCCTATGTTCAGCAGTGGACTTGTGAAGGGCTGTAATGATGATGATGATGATAGATATAAGAATATCCACTACCCCTTATCATCCCGTGTGTGTCGTAGAGGCGACAGCAAGAAACAAATCAGAAGACGTGCAGCAGCGTATTCCTACTAAAATAAAAATAAAATTGTGTTGCCAAGCGTGGCAACTATGGCAAATATCCCCGTATGAGGCAATATATGCGGGAGGCCTATGTTCAGCAGTCGACTTTAATAGGCGCTAACAATAACAAAATAAGCGTCGTAACGAAAAAAAGGATAAACATTAGCAATCAATTAAATAAAAAAAACATGGTCTGGTCTGTTTCCACTAACTTCCCATTTGTTTCATATTTTAAAGTTCAATTTTTTTGGTTTTTGAATCAGCTTCTTCAGAATAAATGCAGTTTCAATTAGCACAATACAAGGCACGTAAAGGTTTTTCTACTCTGATCTATTATTCTGTACAAGATGGCTTTTGTAGTAGAGTTATTAATACATTTTATATTTACACTGTAAAATGTCCAGACTGAATTCGGAGTGAAACTGAAACATTAAACTCCTGCCGTGGCAGCTAACTATAAATTAAAGGGAAAGAAACTTACTTCACTACTATTTTTTTTATTTCAGGTTTACTTTGATCTTATAGATTATCTTACGCTAATGAAGGAAATGTTTAAGTACTGTAAGGCAGTTTTCTTGCAGAGGCTTTGTTTAGTTAGGTGTTGTTGTAAAGTGAAATGTATCTTCACGATTGTTTGAACTTTTTGTTAAATTCTATATAAGTCAAAGACTTGTACTTGTACTCGAGCGGCGATTCAGAATAAAAACCGTGTGACAGCTGTGGATCGCGGGTAGCCGGCACGGTAAATATGCTGGTTACGGTGGCAACCATGGCAACGGCGGGGCAGGGGTTGTTAAGGATCTCCGGTGGAGCTTTGGTTGCCAACTAAGACGACTCCACCTGGCTACATTTAACGCACGTACCCTGACGACTGACGAGGAGATCCTGGAGCTGGAAGAAGAGATAGATAAGTTGCGCTGCAATATTATAGGATTATCTGAGGAGGAGAGGGGAAGAGAGAAAAATGAGGCCTTATCATTTATATGTCATTTATTCAGAAGAAAAACCTATACATAATATACACATATATTGATACATTCGTTTTATTATAATATTTTATAATTGTATTTAAGTGATTCTTTGCATATAGAATGTCACTTAAATATAACTTAAACATTTCGTAAAAATCAGCCAAGTACAATTTCTTTCATTTTAATATTGAATGCTGGGTTACTGGGTAAAATAATTGAATTCTAATTGCGGACCTGTCTTTTTGTTATTTTTTATGAGGTTTACTTGACGATAGATGGCGGCCTGTTCCCAAAATTAATATGAAAACTAAATATATTAAAATATTATTTTGGCGATTAAAATTTCTTTGTCTGAATGTATTTGCTTCATGAGATAGACGCTCCGATGCTATGGATGGCATCACATTTCATTTGTAAGTAATTTTACACCTAATTTATTAAAATAGTTCTAGAAAAATCTCTTTGCGTCGGCTTTGAAATATAATTAAATATATTCCACACTAGATGGCGACACTTTGTGTCCTCTTAACTAAAAATATAAAGGTACGTAGAGCTCAGTAATGACAAAATAATCATACGAAGGTGCTGAAATTTGTTTTGCATTCAGATATAAAAAAAATTTAATCGCCAAAATATTATTTTTATAGTTTATAACATTTTGTGGACATGCCGCCATCTACCGTCAAGGTAGCTAAGGTACATTGCAACATCGATATGGAAAGATTCGAGTACTTTTACTATTTATCGGTAGATGTAGATAATGTAAAGTGGGCGGAGCTTTGCATCCCTTCACCCCGCAAATTGTCACGCGTTGTTACATAGTGAAATTTAATTACAACGTCTCCTCTCTGTATTTGCTTCATGGTACAACCATTTATCGATAAATGAAACAAAGTTTTAAAATTTATAGATTATTATTTATTTTAATCAACATAACATTCTTCTTATTGGATATTATAACTAGATTTAATCAATCTTAATTTTCATTAATCACATTGCACTTAATCAGCGTTAATTCTCTTCATAAAACTAATCAATATTCAGGAGATGGGCATGGACCTTGATCTAATATATGTAGCTCGTTCCGAGCGTTATATATCAAATTTGTTATGTCCATATACACTTGCGATCGAATCTCGTATGGGACTGACTCCATTTCAAATGGAATTAATGTACCAAAATGCTCATTTCGAGGATCTTCTGGTCTTTGATTAAAGAATCTTGAAGCGGGCAAACTTATATAAGCTGTGTAGTCATCTTTTTCCGATTTCACATAGCATATGTAATGATTTTCGGTCTGCGTTGACCTACTTTTTTTGGAAATTTTTCTTTTTATTTACTTTTTCGGTCGAATAGATGGCGATAACGGCGGCGATTCATCACTTTTTGACATGATGATTCTACTCCATATACTAGAAGATTATTTATGTTCCTGTAAAGGCTTTGTCAGACAGGACGCGTATTTTAGCGCTTCGTAGTAGCGTTATAGCGTCCCGTTTTAACGTCGCGCGAGGCTTCGTCAAACAGAACGCTTTAGCGCGCGTTAGGGCGCTGACTCGATGACACGATGATGATGACGGCGTCGCCATTTCGCCATTCGCCAAAGCGTAGTGCAGATCGTTAGCAGATTGAAGAGTTTGTTCGTTATGGAGATGTCGAGTGATTCAGATGTGGAAGAATTATTACTTTTATATGCTTTATCACGGTCACAGAGAAAAAGAGTATGGGTGCACGACATCAATCAAAAGAGAAAGGATTTAGGAGAATATCATCGTTTGTGTCGTGAGCTTGCATCACATGAAGATCGTTTTTTTACATACTTTCGTATCTCTCAAGATTTATTCGAAGAACTACATGAACTGCTCATCCCAATAATAAGCAAATGTACCACAAACTGGAGGACGCCTATTTCTACAAGAGAAAGACTTGTAATCTGTCTAAGGTAAGAAATATTTATTTTTTTATATACATGTTCATTGCGTTATTACTATGAAAATCAATCAAAATCAGCTGAGTTGTAATCAGATGTCGATGCTCCTGAAATATCGATTTCGCGTAGTGGTTGACGTAGCTGCTCAGGCTGTTGCAGGTATGATGAAGTACTGTTAGATAAATCTATAACAGCTACTGGGGATGAATCTTCGGGCACAGAATTGGGTACTGCATAGCAGACGGAGTCTTCGGTACTAATAATGGAATAATGTGGTGAATTCAATATCTGGACGTTTTCTTGCAGTTCCTCTGTTTCTATGCTTGCAAATAACTTGGCTAGTTCTACTTTGGCTTTTATCTGTTTGTCTTTGGAAAAACTTTTAAATGTTTGGGCATAACTTTGGAATAGGTGATCTATGGCATCATACTCTTGTTTTTTTTTATTTTGAAGAAAATTTATAACTTTATCCATTTCGCTGTCAGTTTTTTTTATTTTCTTAGCTCGTGAACTATTTGTGTCATTTGTTTGGGGCGTCTCTAGCGGAGGTGTTTCTGGCGGGGGTGCGCTTTGTGTTCTTGGTGGAGGTGTCTGTGGTGGAGGCGTCTCTGGAGATTGAGTTTCTATAGCTGACGATGTTTCTGATGTAGGTTCTCGAATATTTGAAGTTGTTTCTCGATCTGTCAGAGTTGAGTCAAGGAACTGTAACTGGGAAGCCCAAGGCCATTTTGTAAATTTTTTTGCAGCTTGTCCTGTAGTACCTGCAACCTCTTTTTTGTATCTCATATAATTGTCCCTCAAGCTCTTCCATTTTTTTTTAGCTACTTCACCTGTAAAATAAACATAAATTGTATTATTTTGTTTCAGGTACTTAGCTACGGGTGATTCACAACAGACCATAGCCTTCTCCTTCCGAGTAGGTCGTTCAATAGTCGGTGGTATTGTAAAAGAAGTCTGTACAGAAATTTGGAATACATTACAACCAGAATATATGCCATCGCCTACTGAAGAGACATGGAAACAATCAGAAAAGGGTTATAGGGAAACCTGGAACTTCCCGAATTGTGTCGGTAGTATTGACGGGAAACATGTCTCTATAAAGTGTCCCAAAAATAGTGGATCAGAATATTTTTGCTACAAGAAGTTTTTTTCTGTAGTTCTTCTTGCTATAGTCGATCCGTGTTACAAATTCACCGTCATAGATGTCGGTAGTTACGGGCGGCATAGTGATAGTGGTATATTCGAGAACTCAATATTTTATCGGCAATATATCCACGGAAAATCTCTGCTGCCAGATAAACCTCTTCCAGGCACCGAGGAGCCCGTACCTCATGTACTTATCGGCAACGAAGGTTTTGCTTTAAAAACATATTTGATGCGTCCATTCCCAAGAGCCTTAGCTACACAAGACGAAAGAAAAACAAATTTTAATTAAATACAATACAAACAATAAAATTTAATCAATAAACGATTTTTTTACTTACCAGTTTCATTAATTTCTTCTCCGATTTGTGCCCACAATTTTGCCTTCATTGATATATCTTTATATGAACTATCCTTCGTATTATATAAGCATGGATATTTTCTAACCAATTCTATCAAATTTTCGGTCATTATGCAGTATTTTATTATTATTTTACACCTATTCACTCCGACGCTAAAATAAAATTTGTAAAAAAATACAACACCCGACGTTAAAGCGTCCTAACGCCGCGACAGAGCGTTGCGTACTGCTAGCGTCGGCGCTCTGTTTGACGGTATTCTACGATGGTAGTACAACACATCTTACCGTCATAGCGCGGCGTCAAGTTAACGCTCTGACGCGCGCTAAGTACGCGTCCTGTCTGACAAAGCCTTAAAATGTATAAATTAAGCAAATATAAATGTAGTGTAAAATTCTCAAATACCTGACTACTTATTTATTTTACATGAATATTTACTTACCGATTTAATATCACTGTCTGTAGATGAAACTGTGATTATCATTATGCGATTCTAAAATATTTAACAGTTCTTCTTCGTCTAGCATTATCGATAATTTCCAGCACTAAAAATGCAAATAGGTATAGTACACGCGTGTTATCACGGTGACGGCGCCACAGTAATTGACAATTTATTGAAACGCCACTGTCCTTGACATTAGCCGCACCATAAATCACGGTGATGGCTATATGCTTCATGATGCTGGCGTTCTCAACTCGTATGCACTAGTGACGTACCGGGATAATTCAATTTTACATTTGGCTTATTTGGTTTATAAATTAATATTTTTATTTTTTGTCGCAAAAATAATTTAAAAAATATATGAAATTAAATTTTTATGAATGTTTAGTTCAGTTCATTAAAATATTACATTATGATGATTTGACTATCATTTTAATTTTGAAAGAATACAAATATAATTTTTTTGATAAATCTTTTACAGTGGCGCAACACTGGTCTCAGAAATATCACGGGGATGGCGAGGCAGCAAGGTGTTTAGTTTCATCTTGCACGTAGTAACACTATATATTTCTGATATTTTTTTGACATTGGTATCTACAACTGTCCACAATTACTTAAATGTGTTAAATTTAATAGCAAAATCGAATTAACCTTGCAGTTTTTCTAGTAACATGAACATTTCGGGATATTACGTGAGAGCGCTGACGGTATTCACATTAAGATTCGTAATATTACGGCTATGGCGGTGAAAGGGTTAATACAAAAAATACGTATTCATGTATTATTTTAATGAAGAAATTATTTCTTTCATATTTGGACTGATAAATGATTTCATTTTGTGAATATTTCAATAAAAATATCATATTTTTAGTCTATTTTTGACAAGTCACCGTATTTGACACTCAGTTTTACCTGTGCATCGACTGTATTGCCATATTGCCGTTCCCCACATTTCTTGTTTTAATGTGGGCCTCATTATATTTTCGTTCTCCACTTGATGTAGGGTGGTCATAAGGTGTCAAGGATGAGGCTCATAATAAAAACGTTTTTAAATATTATTGTATAAAATAATGTAATTTAAATGATGTAAAATAAAATACTCGTATTTCTTTTCTATTCCAGGTCGTACCTAAACTTTCAAAATGTATTAGGAATACCTAATAATGGTTCTGCAAATACCTAGTTTAAGTGTACTTTTTAATTAATTGAATATCCCTTACCTATGCATAATTTTTTATTAAATAATAAGTATTTATTTAATCAATATTTTGAGCTTTGTGATGAATGCTTGCACGTAAGTTTGCTAGCAAATATCTGTAGAATGATGTTATTCTTTTTGTTTGTAATTCTTTTAATTCTATTTGTAACCTACATAAGTTTTAATAAAGATTATTATTATTACTATTATTATTCTGGTTATTTTTTATTTTAACGTTTAAGAGATAGCCCCTATCCCCAAGGAAATGGGGCTGTCTGCATACTCCCCTCTTTCAAACTTTGTACAAGTATTGATGTTTTGGTAAATTGCTGAATCATGTGTAGAGGCTGGCCAGCGTGCAACAACATCCTGCACCAACAAATTTGCTGATGCAATTGTTTGGACATTTATGGAAAAGTAGCCTTTCCTGTTTCTAAATAGTTCTGCATCATCTCCACCTAAAGATATAAATAATACTTCATCAGTATTGATTGATAGACTACTAAGAGAAATGAACTTTTAGTGAAAGGAAGTTAAATAAAAAAAAATCATTTCTTTGCCGAATCGGCTGATGCTTACTTTGTTATTGTTAAAACTCCTCGTTAAATATATTGTTTTATAATTAATTTGAACTTACTGTCACTTTATAATCATACAGTATTATAAAAGTAAAGAAATTAAAATATATTTATCATTAAATAGTGTGAAACATAGAAGATAATTACAAAAGTATTGTTGTCGGCGCACGTCATCGCGCCTCGGCCAAAATGAAGGACGCTGGGGGCGTCACTCACTCAGCTGCGAGTCGCAAACGGGCACTTTATTATTCAATTTACGTTATGTTTGTTTAGAAGTTTTACGGCATTAAACCTATTATTAATACAGTCCACTCTTTTTATTTCCAAAGTCCCGACAAGGCCTAAACATATGGTCCTTCGATCGCAAAACATTTACCAGTTTTTGCCGTAATTAACGTCGACAACGTCAACGGTCGCCGAGCGAACTTTGAACCCACAGCCACATATATTGAAGAAGGAAGTCGTTCCCGTAGCAGCCTGCGTCATTAGGGATGGGCAAAGGGAAAAAATATATCGATTCTATATTTTTAAACAGAATCGATATATAGACGAAAAAAACGATACTACATTTTAAAATATATCGAAATTGATACGAATTCGATACTCTAAAATAAATATCGATATGTCGATATATCGTGATATTAAATATCGACGATATATATCGATATTTTTATTATAAAATTTCGATATATCGATATTTTTTGCCCAAGCCTATGCGTCATCATTGAAGACGCTGTTGTCATCCTGGGAGTATAAAAACTATTTGAGTGAGTTCGTTCCAATTAGTTATTTTTCCACTTTCATTTCATGCCGAAAAAATCATTTCTATATATTTCATTGGCTAAGTTATATAAGTAATATTTCATTTACTTTTAATAAGTAGGTACCTAATTAACTTCAGTGCTTTAAAAATTGCTTTGTCATTGCAACGCTCGCTTGTTTAACCCTTTCGCTGTCACGTGCACTAGATATAGGGCACTGCTATTGTCTTACTATTGTGTCTGGAAACCGGACAGTGAAAGTGTTAAATTTAAATGCTTATTCCGTTACAAATATCAAGCGCTAAAGTGTCCATTCGTTGACCTTGCGCTGATTCATATTTTACCTGCGCGCAACAGTCCCTTTTGCTCTCGCACAACAGTTATCTTTTTTATCCTAAAGTAATCAACGTTTTATTTTTCTTTGCTGTGTTTATATAAAAATAAAATGGCAGATAATTTAAAAACTTTATTGAAGAAGCGTAGTTCGATAAAATCAAAGCTTACAATTTACAACAATTATTTAAATTTAATTAAAAGTAGTTCTGATATTTCTGAGTGGCAACGTCTAGACTTAGCGGAGCGTTTTAATAAATTCGAAACCTTATATTCAGAATTTGATGAATTACAGACAAACATAGAAGTGCTTGCCGATGATGCGGGGTCTGCGTTAGTTGAGCGTGAGGACTTTGACCGTCAGTTCTTCAATCTGATGGCCATCACGCGCAGCCTGCTCGGTGCTTCGTCTAAAGTGCTGGGTCAGAGGCGGGTTTCAGAGATGCTGACTCAGATGCACATTGTTCTAATAAGAACAGTTTTGTTCGTTTGCCCAAAATTGATTTACCTCATTTCGATGGGATCTACCAATGCTGGCTCGAATTTCGAGATACATTTACGTCATTAATTCACGATAACTATAGTATCAATGAAATAAACAAGTTCCACTATTTGCGCGCTTCATTGCAGGGAAACGCAGCCTTAGTTATTAAAAATATTGATTTTAAACGCGATCATTATAAAATTGCGTGGGACATGTTGTGTGAGCGGTATAACAACTACCGCCTCCTTGTCAATAATCATATGCAAGCTTTGTTTGATATCGATGCTATAGTCAAGGAGTCAAGTGTCTCAATCAGAAACCTGGTAGATACACTTAATAAAAATGTAAGGGCACTAACAAAATTAAATCAACCCACTCAATATTGGGACACATTATTAATATATGTCATGATTACAAAATTAGATTTGACAACAAGTCGTGACTGGGAAGAGCATAGGAGCAATATTTTAAAAGATGATCCTACTTTAATGCAATTTTGTTCTTTTTTAATTTGATCTGATTGGTTAGAGTCCGTCGAGTCAATTATCAATTCTTCTCAGACTAATACTATTGTAGCTTTAAATAATAGTCATACATATAAAAATTCCAATTCTAAAGTCACTCAAGTTAATAAAAAATCACATAATAATTTTAATAAAATAAATAAATGTCCACTTTGCTCCCAGGCTCATACATTATATAAATGTGAATCCTTTAGAAACTTAACTATAGAGGATTGCATAAAAAAGGCAAATGATTACAATGTTTGTCTTAATTGCTTTCGCGTCGGACATTCTGCTAAGCAGTGTAAACTCACACATTGCAAATATTGCAATACAAAGAACAATACGCTTTTGCATTTAGAATTTACTGAACCCAAACCATTTTCTAATCCATTGCCTTCTGCTATGCCTTCTGCTTTGGCTTCTGCGTCAAATATCGCACTATCAGCCAATTCCTTGTAGCTTGCTACTTCTGCGCATGTTTTACTGTCCACAGCTATGGTGAACGTGGTCAGCGGAACGGGTAAGAAGTACACTGCGCGGCTACTGCTGGACAACGGTAGTACTGCCAACTTTGTTACGCACAGACTATCAGAGAAACTGGGTTTGTCACATCGCAGTACGAGCACCAAGGTAACAGGTATTAATAATCACAAATCCACCAGTACACAGTCTTGTCACCTCACAATTGAGTCTTTATACTGTGCCTTTACTGTTGATATCGATTGTCATATTTTACCAGAAATTACAAAGGTTCTACCGTCTTCATTCGTGCATATAAATCACGTCCCTATTCCTTCAGGTCTTACACTA